ATTCATTGCAAAGTTGACATTTCATATTGATATTTTCTTTAAGAATCACATTTAGGCGATTGCGAGTGGGAAGTGACTGGACCTGAGCAGCAAAAAGGAAGCACTCAGTTTCACATTTAAGACCAGCCGACTTCATCCAGGCGAAGGAGTCGGTGAGATTGCTATTCTGTTCAACACACTGCATGTACACACGATGCAATGGCTTCTCAGAAAGCTTCTCCACAAAAGACCGACTCTGGGCAGACTTGGTGAAGGACTTCACCTGGTTTACTCCCATCACTGTACCGTCCAGCAGTACATCGCCATTAACAAAATCAACCTCAAATTTCAGATTCTGTCCAACAACCTTGGCACGCTTAAAATAGCTGTGGAATTCCTTGCTTTCATCATGAGTCTTCACATGCATCACCAGAGGATCATCTGATAAATAAATATGTGCAAAAGTACACAATAAAATTCTATCATGAAGAGCCTCCACATTAATCAAACCCCGACCTCCAGAATTGATTGGCATGTATAAACGGTTAAGAGAGGAACGAGGGTGGTGGGCTCTGTTATCAGACATGATCCTTCTGGTCAGACGGTCAAGACTCTGGATGTCTTGTTTCGTCCAATCAACTACTCCAAAGGAATAGGAGAGGACTGGCACAGCAAAAGTATTGGTGGCTTTGACCTTGTTTCGAGCATTTAGCTCTGAGCTCAGATTTTTCTTTAAACGAGATTTATACTCGGCCCGCAGTTTGTCTTGAATCTGGGCATCCTGGGCGTGTCTCGAACTTGCATTCAAGATAGGTGTAGGCCTGATCGTCCACAAGATGCTCAATAACTCCTCCCCCTTGTAACTTGACCGATCCATCATTAGTTACCTTGCCTCGTTTCAAATGAAGAGTATTTCATTTGTCGAGTCCAAATGTCATGCCAATATCATTCGAAAAGGACTCGACAAGGAGAACCTGCTCTTTCAAATTGGTATCTCCTTTGGCAAGGAGCTCGATGTCATCCATGTAAAGGAGATGAGTAAGAGGTGTTGGGGATCTGTGCTGAGGAGGTCCGGGATGGTAACCCTCCTCTTTATTGAGCAGAAAGCTCAAAGGATTTAAAGACAAACAAAAAAGCAAAGGACTAAAGGAATCCCCCTGAAATATTCCCCTTCTGATTGGAATAGATTCCGAAGTCTGCACCTGCCCTTGCGAGTACATCTTTATTATTATTATTATTATTATTATTATTATGTTTTACAGATTAAAGATAGTATGCAGCAGAGAGGGTTCGGGTGATATTATTATTATTATTATTATGTTTTACAGATTAAAGATTGTATGCAGCAGAGAGGGTTCGGGTGATCCTGGCACAGTCAGGCTGGTAAGGCTCATCATCAGCTCAGGGCCCTTGCCCCCTCTACACGCAGCCCAGACAGCGAATGGGACTTCTCCCAGGAAACGCTGCCTAGTCGAACCCACCAAGAACCTTCCGGAGAATATGAAGGCTCCCCAACATTATTATTATTATTATTATTATTATGTTTTACAGATTGAAGATAATATGCAGCAGAGAGGGTTCGGGTGATCCTGGCACAGTCAGGCTGGTAAGGCTCATCATCAGCTCAGGGCCCTTGCCCCTCTACACACGCAGCCCAGACAGCGAATGGGACTTCTCCCAGGAAACGCTGCCTAGTCGAACCCACCAAGAACTTTCCGGAGAATATGAAGGCTCCCAACACTGCAGCCTTCTGCATTACCCAGAGTGTCAGAAGAGCTGTACTCCCGGTGGAGAACCCGGGCACTCTCCTGATCTGTGCCAAAAGATCAGGAGGTACCAAACCAAGGGCACCGAGAACAATGGGGAGCCTGACGACAGTGTACTTGGGATGCAAGCGAGACATTTCAAAGGCGAGGTCCGCATATTTATCATGCTTTTCCTTGATCTTGTCAATCACATGCCTGTCAAAAGGGACAGAAAATTCAATGATATATATAAATTCATTGGCTTTATCAAAAAGGACAAGATCAGGTTTGTTGGCTGGAATTCTTCTGAGGCTGTATATGGGCCTATTCCACAGAAGTTTGAAAGCATCATTTTCCATGACGCCCTGGACATGTTCAGGGTCGTACCATGGATGGACCTCAGAGTCAAAGCCACAGGCATGTCGGAGACGGTAGTAAAAGCAGCGAGCCATGCCATCATGTCGTTTAAGATATGCTGTTTGTGCCAAGGAAGGGCATCCACTGACAAGGTGTTGGACGGTCTCCGTGAATTCATTGCAAAGTTGACATTTCATATTGATATTTTCTTTAAGAATCACATTTAGGCGATTGCGAGTGGGAAGTGACTGGACCTGAGCAGCAAAAAGGAAGCACTCAGTTTCACATTTAAGACCAGCCGACTTCATCCAGGCGAAGGAGTCGGTGAGATTGCTATTCTGTTCAACACACTGCATGTACACACGATGCAATGGCTTCTCAAAAGCTTCTCCACAAAGACCGACTCTGGGCAGACTTGGTGAAGGACTTCACCTGGTTTACTCCCATCACTGTACCGTCCAGCAGTACATCGCCATTAACAAAATCAACCTCAAATTTCAGATTCTGTCCAACAACCTTGGCACGCTTAAAATAGCTGTGGAATTCCTTGCTTTCATCATGAGTCTTCACATGCATCACCAGAGGATCATCTGATAAATAAATATGTGCAAAAGTACACAATAAAATTCTATCATGAAGAGCCTCCACATTAATCAAACCCCGACCTCCAGAATTGATTGGCATGTATAAACGGTTAAGAGAGGAACGAGGGTGGTGGGCTCTGTTATCAGACATGATCCTTCTGGTCAGACGGTCAAGACTCTGGATGTCTTGTTTCGTCCAATCAACTACTCCAAAGGAATAGGAGAGGACTGGCACAGCAAAAGTATTGGTGGCTTTGACCTTGTTTCGAGCATTTAGCTCTGAGCTCCAGATTTTCTTTAAACGAGATTTATACTCGGCCCGCAGTTTGTCTTGAATCTGGGCATCCTGGAGCGTGTCTCGAACTTGCATTCCAAGATAGGTGTAGGCCTGATCGTCCACAAGATGCTCAATAACTCCTCCCCCTTGTAACTTGACCGATCCATCATTAGTTACCTTGCCTCGTTTCAAATGAAGAGTATTTCATTTGTCGAGTCCAAATGTCATGCCAATATCATTCGAAAAGGACTCGACAAGGAGAACCTGCTCTTTCAAATTGGTATCTCCTTTGGCAAGGAGCTCGATGTCATCCATGTAAAGGAGATGAGTAAGAGGTGTTGGGGATCTGTGCTGAGGAGGTCCGGGATGGTAACCCTCCTCTTTATTGAGCAGAAAGCTCAAAGGATTTAAAGACAAACAAAAAAGCAAAGGACTAAAGGAATCCCCCTGAAATATTCCCCTTCTGATTGGAATAGATTCCGAAGTCTGCACCTGCCCTTGCGAGTACATCTTTATTATTATTATTATTATTATTATTATTATTATGTTTTACAGATTAAAGATAGTATGCAGCAGAGAGGGTTCGGGTGATATTATTATTATTATTATTATGTTTTACAGATTAAAGATTGTATGCAGCAGAGAGGGTTCGGGTGATCCTGGCACAGTCAGGCTGGTAAGGCTCATCATCAGCTCAGGGCCCTTGCCCCCTCTACACGCAGCCCAGACAGCGAATGGGACTTCTCCCAGGAAACGCTGCCTAGTCGAACCCACCAAGAACCTTCCGGAGAATATGAAGGCTCCCCAACATTATTATTATTATTATTATTATTATTATTATGTTTTACAGATTGAAGATAATATGCAGCAGAGAGGGTTCGGGTGATCCTGGCACAGTCAGGCTGGTAAGGCTCATCATCAGCTCAGGGCCCTTGCCCCCTCTACACGCAGCCCAGACAGCGAATGGGACTTCTCCCAGGAAACGCTGCCTAGTCGAACCCACCAAGAACTTTCCGGAGAATATGAAGGCTCCCCAACACTGCAGCCTTCTGCATTACCCAGAGTGTCAGAAGAGCTGTACTCCCGGTGGAGAACCCGGGCACTCTCCTGATCTGTGCCAAAAGATCAGGAGGTACCAAACCAAGGGCACCGAGAACAATGGGGAGCCTGACGACAGTGTACTTGGGATGCAAGCGAGACATTTCAAAGGCGAGGTCCGCATATTTATCATGCTTTTCCTTGATCTTGTCAATCACATGCCTGTCAAAAGGGACAGAAAATTCAATGATATATATAAATTCATTGGCTTTATCAAAAAGGACAAGATCAGGTTTGTTAGCTGGAATTCTTCTGAGGCTGTATATGGGCCTATTCCACAGAAGTTTGAAAGCATCATTTTCCATGACGCCCTGGACATGTTCAGGGTCGTACCATGGATGGACCTCGGGAGTCAAAGCCACAGGCATGTCGGAGACGGTAGTAAAAGCAGCGAGCCATGCCATCATGTCGTTTAAGATATGCTGTTTGTGCCAAGGAAGGGCATCCACTGACAAGGTGTTGGACAGTCTCTGTGAATTCATTGCAAAGTCGACATTTCATGTTAATATTATCTTTAAGAATCACATTTAGGCGATTACGAGTGGGAAGTGACTGGTCCTGAGCAGCAAATAGGAAGCCCTCAGTTTCACATTTAAGACCAGCCGACTTCATCCAGGCAAAGGAGTCGGAGGGATTGCTATTCTGTTCCACACACTGCATGTACACACGATGCAATGGCTTCTCAGAAAGCTTCTCCACAAAAGACCGACTCTGGGCAGACTTGGTGAAGGACTTATTATTATTATTATTATTATTATTATTATACACTCCAAAGAAGTGTGTCTTTAACACAATCATGGTAGTATCGAGACAATACCAAAACATTCCGTTCGAACATAAATATCCTTTTCAAGTAATGATACACATTTCAGATTTTAGAATACAAATGGAAGAATCTTAAAGAATTGTAGTTTTTTTTCTCACTGTTCCCTCGCCCATATTTCTTGAGTATATTCCTACCTTGATCCAGTCGTAGCTGAAAGTTGGGAAACCGTGGAGACAGAACACAGTCCCTGTCCCACTGCCTGCCTCATCTGGGGAGGAGAACAGAATGTCTACATTATTATACACTGGGATCAATACAGGGGATGGACTAAATGCCCCATCTGGGGAGGAGAACAGAATGTCTACATTATTATACACTGGGATCAATACAGAGGATGGACTAAATGCCCCATCTGGGGAGGAGAACAGAATGTCTACATTATTATACACTGGGATCAATACAGAGGATGGACTAAATGCCCCATTTGGGGAGGAGAACAGAATGTCTACATTATTATACACTGGGATCAATACAGGGGATGGACCAAATGCCCCATCTGGGGAGGAGAACAGAATGTCTATCATTATCAATATAGAAAATAGTACTTTAAGTCACTACTAGTGTAACAGAATCATTACCATTATAGAAAATAGTAGTTTAAGTCACTACTTGTATAACAGAATCATTACCAATATAGAAAATAGTAGTTTAAGTCGCTGCTAGTGTAACACTATCATTACCACTATAAAAAATAGTAGTTTAAGTCACTACTAGTATAACAGAATCATTACCAATATAGAAAGTAGTAGTTTAAGTCACTACTAGTATAACAGAATCATTACAAATATAGAAAATAGTAGTTTAAGTCACTACTTGTATAACAGAATCATTACCAATATAGAAAATAGTAGTTTAAGTCGCTACTAGTATAACAGAATCATTACAAATATAGAAAATAGTAGTTTAAGTCGCTACTAGTATAACAGAATCATTACCAATATAGAAAATAGTAGTTTAAGTCACTACTTGTATAACAGAATCATTACCAATAAGGAAAATAGTAGTTTAAGTCACTACTTGTATAACAGAATCATTACCAATATAGAAAATAGTAGTTTAAGTCGCTACTAGTATAACAGAATCATTACCAATATAGAAAATAGTAGTTTAAGTCACTACTAGTATAACAGAATCATTACCAATATAGAAAATAGTAGTTTAAGTCACTACTAGTATAACAGAATCATTACCAATATAGAAAATAGTAGTTTAAGTCACTACTAGTATAACAGAATCATTACCAATATAGAAAATAGTAGTTTAAGTCACTACTAGTATAACAGAATCATTACCAATATAGAAAATAGTAGTTTAAGTCACTACTAGTATAACAGAATCATTACCAATATAGAAAATAGTAGTTTAAGTCACTACTAGTATAACAGAATCATTACCAATATAGAAAATAGTAGTTTAAGTCGCTACTAGTATAACCAATATAGAAGAATCATTACCAATCATAGAAAATAGTAGTTTAAGTCACTACTAGTATAACACTATCATTACCAATATAGAAAATAGTAGTTTAAGTCGCTACTAGTATAACAGAATCATTACCAATATAGAAAATAGTAGTAGTTTAAGTCACTACTAGTATAACAGAATCATTACCAATATAGAAAATAGTAGTTTAAGTCACTACTAGTATAACAGAATCATTACCAATATAGAAAATAGTAGTTTAAGTCACTACTAGTATAACAGAATCATTACCAATATAGAAAATAGTAGTTTAAGTCACTACTAGTATAACAGAATCATTACCAATATAGAAAATAGTAGTTTAAGTCACTACTAGTATAACACTAGTCATTACCAATATAGAAAATAGTAGTTTAAGTCACTACTAGTATAACAGAATCATTACCAATATAGAAAATAGTAGTTTAAGTCACTACTAGTATAACAGAATCATTACCAATATAGAAAATAGTAGTTTAAGTCACTACTAGTATAACAGAATCATTACCAATATAGAAAATAGTAGTTTAAGTCACTACTAGTATAACAGAATCATTACCAATATAGAAAATAGTAGTTTAAGTCACTACTAGTATAACACTATCATTACCAATATAGAAAATAGTAGTTTAAGTCACTACTAGTATAACAGAATCATTACCAATATAGAAAATAGTAGTTTAAGTCACTACTAGTATAACAGAATCATTACCAATATAGAAAATAGTAGTTTAAGTCACTACTAGTATAACAGAATCATTACCAATATAGAAAATAGTAGTTTAAGTCACTACTAGTATAACAGAATCATTACCAATATAGAAAATAGTAGTTTAAGTCACTACTAGTATAACAGAATCATTACCAATATAGAAAATAGTAGTTTAAGTCACTACTAGTATAACACTATCATTACCAATATAGAAAATAGTAGTTTAAGTCACTACTAGTATAACAGAATCATTACCAATATAGAAAATAGTAGTTTAAGTCGCTACTAGTATAACACTATCATTACCAATATAGAAAATAGTAGTTTAAGTCACTACTAGTATAACAGAATCATTACCAATATAGAAAATAGTAGTTTAAGTCACTACTAGTATAACAGAATCATTACCAATATAGAAAATAGTAGTTTAAGTCACTACTAGTATAACAGAATCATTACCAATATAGAAAATAGTAGTTTAAGTCGCTACTAGTATAACAGAATCATTACCAATATAGAAAATAGTAGTTTAAGTCGCTACTAGTATAACACTATCATTACCAATATAGAAAATAGTAGTTTAAGTCACTACTAGTATAACAGAATCATTACCAATATAGAAAATAGTAGTTTAAGTCACTACTAGTATAACACTATCATTACCAATATAGAAAATAGTAGTTTAAGTCACTACTAGTATAACAGAATCATTACCAATATAGAAACATAGTAGTTTAAGTCACTACTAGTATAACAGAATCATTACCAATATAGAAAATAGTAGTTTAAGTCACATACTAGTATAACAGAATCATTACCAATATAGAAAATAGTAGTTTAAGTCGCTACTAGTATAACAGAATCATTACCAATATAGAAAATAGTAGTTTAAGTCGCTACTAGTATAACAGAATCATTACCAATATAGAAAATAGTAGTTTAAGTCACTACTAGTATAACAGAATCATTACCAATATAGAAAATAGTAGTTTAAGTCACTACTAGTATAACAGAATCATTACCAATATAGAAAATAGTAGTTTAAGTCACTACTAGTATAACAGAATCATTACCAATATAGAAAATAGTAGTTTAAGTCGCTACTAGTATAACAGAATCATTACCAATATAGAAAATAGTAGTTTAAGTCACTACTAGTATAACACTATCATTACCAATATAGAAAATAGTAGTTTAAGTCACTACTAGTATAACAGAATCATTACCAATATAGAAAATAGTAGTTTAAGTCACTACTAGTATAACAGAATCATTACCAATATAGAAAATAGTAGTTTAAGTCGCTACTAGTATAACACTATCATTACCAATATAGAAAATAGTAGTTTAAGTCACTACTAGTATAACAGAATCATTACCAATATAGAAAATAGTAGTTTAAGTCACTACTAGTATAACAGAATCATTACCAATATAGAAAATAGTAGTTTAAGTCACTACTAGTATAACAGAATCATTACCAATATAGAAAATAGTAGTTTAAGTCACTACTAGTATAACAGAATCATTACCAATATAGAAAATAGTAGTTTAAGTCGCTACTAGTATAACACTATCATTACCAATATAGAAAATAGTAGTTTAAGTCACTACTAGTATAACAGAATCATTACCAATATAGAAAATAGTAGTTTAAGTCGCTACTAGTATAACAGAATCATTACCAATATAGAAAATAGTAGTTTAAGTCACTACTAGTATAACAGAATCATTACCAATATAGAAAATAGTAGTTTAAGTCACTACTAGTATAACAGAATCATTACCAATATAGAAAATAGTAGTTTAAGTCGCTACTAGTATAACACTATCATTACCAATATAGAAAATAGTAGTTTAAGTCGCTACTAGTATAACAGAATCATTACCAATATAGAAAATAGTAGTTTAAGTCACTACTAGTATAACAGAATCATTACCCAATATAGAAAATAGTAGTTTAAGTCGCTACTAGTATAACAGAATCATTACCAATATAGAAAATAGTAGTTTAAGTCACTACTAGTATAACAGAATCATTACCAATATAGAAAATAGTAGTTTAAGTCGCTACTAGTATAACAGAATCATTACCAATATAGAAAATAGTAGTTTAAGTCACTACTAGTATAACACTATCATTACCAATATAGAAAATAGTAGTTTAAGTCACTACTAGTATAACAGAATCATTACCAATATAGAAAATAGTAGTTTAAGTCGCTACTAGTATAACAGAATCATTACCAATATAGAAAATAGTAGTTTAAGTCGCTACTAGTATAACAGAATCATTACCAATATAGAAAATAGTAGTTTAAGTCGCTACTAGTATAACAGAATCATTACCAATATAGAAAAATAGTAGTTTAAGTCACTACTAGTATAACAGAATCATTACCAATATAGAAAATAGTAGTTTAAGTCACTACTAGTATAACAGAATCATTACCAATATAAAAATAGTAGTTTAAGTCACTACTAGTATAACAGAATCATTACCAATATAGAAAAATAGTAGTTTAAGTCGCTACTAGTATAACAGAATCATTACCAATATAGAAAATAGTAGTTTAAGTCACTACTAGTATAACAGAATCATTACCAATATAGAAAATAGTAGTTTTTAAGTCACTACTAGTATAACAGAATCATTACCAATATAGAAAATAGTAGTTTAAGTCACTACTAGTATAACAGAATCATTACCAATATAGAAAATAGTAGTTTAAGTCGCTACTAGTATAACAGAATCATTACCAATATAGAAAATAGTAGTTTAAGTCGCTACTAGTATAACAGAATCATTACCAATATAGAAAATAGTAGTTTAAGTCACTACTAGTATAACAGAATCATTACCAATATAGAAAATGGTAGTTTAAGTCACTACTAGTATAACAGAATCATTACCAATATAGAAAATAGTAGTTTAAGTCACTACTAGTATAACAGAATCATTACCAATATAGAAAAAATAGTAGTTTAAGTCACTACTAGTATAACACTATCATTACCAATATAGAAAATAGTAGTTTAAGTCACTACTAGTTAAGTCACCAATACTAGTATAACATAACAGAATCATTACCAATATAGAAAATAGTAGTTTAAGTCACTACTAGTATAACACTATCATTACCAATATAGAAAATAGTAGTTTAAGTCACTACTAGTATAACAGAATCATTACCAATATAGAAAATAGTAGTTTAAGTCACTACTAGTATAACAGAATCATTACCAATATAGAAAATAGTAGTTTAAGTCACTACTTGTATAACAGAATCATTACCAATATAGAAAATAGTAGTTTAAGTCACTACTAGTATAACAGAATCATTACCAATATAGAAAATAGTAGTTTAAGTCACTACTAGTATAACAGAATCATTACCAATATAGAAAATAGTAGTTTAAGTCACTACTAGTATAACAGAATCATTACCAATATAGAAAATAGTAGTTTAAGTCACTACTAGTATAACAGAATCATTACCAATATAGAAAATAGTAGTTTAAGTCGCTACTAGTATAACAGAATCATTACCAATATAGAAAATAGTAGTTTAAAGTCACTACTAGTATAACAGAATCATTACCAATATAGAAAATAGTAGTTTAAGTCACTACTAGTATAACAGAATCATTACCAATATAGAAAAATAGTAGTTTAAGTCACTACTAGTATAACAGAATCATTACCAATATAGAAAATAGTAGTTTAAGTCACTACTAGTATAACACTATCATCATTACCAATATAGAAAATAGTAGTTTAAGTCACTACTAGTATAACAGAATCATTACCAATATAGAAAAATAGTAGTTTAAGTCACTACTAGTATAACAGAATCATTACCAATATAGAAAATAGTAGTTTAAGTCACTACTAGTATAACAGAATCATTACCAATATAGAAAAAATGTAGTAGTTTAAGTCACTACTAGTATATCATTACCAATATAGAAAATAGTAGTTTAAGTCATCATTACCAATATAGAAAATAGTAGTTTAAGTCGCTACTAGTATAACAGAATCATTACCAATATAGAAAATAGTAGTTTAAGTCACTACTAGTATAACAGAATCATTACCAATATAGAAAATAGTAGTTTAAGTCACTACTAGTATAACAGAATCATTACCAATATAGAAAATAGTAGTTTAAGTCACTACTAGTATAACAGAATCATTACCAATATAGAAAATAGTAGTTTAAGTCACTACTAATATAACAGAATCATTACCAATATAGAAAATAGTAGTTTAGTCACTACTAGTATAACAGAATCATTACCAATATAGAAAATAGTAGTTTAAGTCACTACTAGTATAACAGAATCATTACCAATATAGAAAATAGTAGTTTAAGTCACTACTAGTATAACAGAATCATTACCAATATAGAAAATAGTAGTTTAAGTCACTACTTGTATAACAGAATCATTACCAATATAGAAAATAGTAGTTTAAGTCACTACTAGTATAACAATAGTAGAATCATTACCAATATAGAAAATAGTAGTTTCAACTAGTCAGAATCATTACCAATATAGAAAATACTAGTATAACAGAATCATTACCAATATAGAAAATAGTAGTTTAAGTCACTACTAGTATAACAGAATCATTACCAATATAGAAAATAGTAGTTTAAGTCGCTACTAGTATAACAGAATCATTACCAATATAGAAAATAGTAGTTTAAGTCGCTACTAGTATAACAGAATCATTACCAATATAGAAAATAGTAGTTTAAGTCACTACTAGTATAACAGAATCATTACCAATATAGAAAATAGTAGTTTAAGTCACTACTAGTATAACAGAATCATTACCAATATAGAAAATAGTAGTTTAAGTCACTACTAGTATAACACTATCATTACCAATATAGAAAATAGTAGTTTAAGTCACTACTAGTATAACAGAATCATTACCAATATAGAAAATAGTAGTTTAAGTCGCTACTAGTATAACAGAAAATCACTTACACATCATATAGAAAATAGTAGTTTAAGTCGCTACTAGTATAACAGAATCATTACCAATATAGAAAATAGTAGTTTAAGTCGCTACTAGTATAACAGAATCATTACCAATATAGAAAATAGTAGTTTAAGTCACTACTAGTATAACAGAATCATTACCAATATAGAAAATAGTAGTTTAAGTCACTACTAGTATAACAGAATCATTACCAATATAGAAAATAGTAGTTTAAGTCACTACTAGTATAACAGAATCATTACCAATATAGAAAATAGTAGTTTAAGTCGCTACTAGTATAACATTATCATTACCAATACCAATATAGAAAATAGTAGTTTAAGTCACTACTAGTATAACAGAATCATTACCAATATAGAAAATAGTAGTTTAAGTCGCTACTAGTATAACAGAATCATTACCAATATAGAAAATAGTAGTTTAAGTCGCTACTAGTATAACAGAATCATTACCAATATAGAAAATAGTAGTTTAAGTCACTACTAGTATAACAGAATCATTACCAATATAGAAAATAGTAGTTTAAGTCACTACTAGTATAACAGAATCATTACCAATATAGAAAATAGTAGTTTAAGTCGCTACTAGTATAACAGAATCATTACCAATATAGAAAATAGTAGTTTAAGTCACTACTAGTATAACAGAATCATTACCAATATAGAAAATAGTAGTTTAAGTCACTACTAGTATAACAGAATCATTACCAATATAGAAAATAGTAGTTTAAGTCACTACTAGTATAACAGAATCATTACCAATATAGAAAATAGTAGTTTAAGTCACTACTAGTATAACACTATCATTACCAATATAGAAAATAGTAGTTTAAGTCGCTACTAGTATAACAGAATCATTACCAATATAGAAAATAGTAGTTTAAGTCGCTACTAGTATAACAGAATCATTACCAATATAGAAAATAGTAGTTTAAGTCGCTACTAGTATAACAGAATCATTACCAATATAGAAAATAGTAGTTTAAGTCACTACTAGTATAACAGAATCATTACCAATATAGAAAATAGTAGTTTAAGTCGCTACTAGTATAACAGAATCATTACCAATATAGAAAATAGTAGTTTAAGTCGCTACTTGTATAACAGAATCATTACCAATATAGAAAATAGTAGTTTAAGTCACTACTAGTATAACAGAATCATTACCAATATAGAAAATAGTAGTTTAAGTCACTACTTGTATAACAGAATCATTACCAATATAGAAAATAGTAGTTTAAGTCGCTACTTGTATAACAGAATCATTACCAATATAGAAAATAGTAGTTTAAGTCGCTACTAGTATAACAGAATCATTACCAATATAGAAAGTAATAGTTTAAGTCGCTACTAGTATAACAGAATCATTACCAATATAGAAAATAGTAGTTTAAGTCACTACTAGTGTAACACTATCATTACCAATATAGAAAACCTCCAGGCCATTGTGTTTGTATATTTTGCCTCTCTGTTTCCATGACGACAGTCTTTTAGATAACGGAGGGGCAGGGTAGAGTAAGAACACTGCAGTGGCAACACTCAGCACCACGACGGCAATTTCGACCACCGACGGCATCGTTCACAGCTCCTGTTGCAACAAACACAGTTGATAATACACAGCAGTGGTATCGTTCAGCTTACAGTACCGCACACCCCGGTAATACGCACATGGACGCACACCCCGGTAATACGGGCATGGACGCACAGTCCGGTAATACCGGCATGGACGCACACCCCGGTAATACCGGCATGGACGTCAAGGGTATCACTATATACGTCTACAAACGTGTAAAAAGATATAATTCTAAGGGACCGTACATAATTTATGGCCACAGGTTTTGTTGATGATTTTAGAGGGTAGGGTTTTAAATTTTTTTGTTCTGGGGAGGTAGGGGGGTCAGCAATTTTGTATATATAGATATTAAAATATTATACTTAAAACTTAGGGCGGGGGGCATTGATTTTGTTCATGACATGCAAGGAGGGTCACTTACTTTGCACATAAATTTTAGAGGAGGGTGCGGGGATGGGGGGGGGGTCTGTTCCAGTCACATTGTCCATACTTCTCCTTAAAATCATCATCACCCGCCCTAGCCATAAATTATGAACGGTCCCAAAGAGATATTAATATTGTTGTCCTAAAATGGACATACATGACCAGAGACTAGACAATATCATAATTATCCATAAAACGATCACCTTAATGCTTTGTGAAAGGAGGCCCTGGTCTCTACTGTGACAAACAGTATTAACTACAGTCCGTTTGAGTCAGAAACGGACCGATGAATTGCAAATTTTATCATTGTACAAAATTGCCACATAAATATAAATAGTACACATGTTTATCATTTACTAATACCCAACAGCTTTCTTATATTTGAAAATTTTCCGGACTCCACCAAAATAGTTCTTTAAGAAACTATCATTAAAATTTTGACACAGTTCACTATTTGTTACGAGGGAGGAGTGCAGAGAGAGGGACAGGCAGGTGTTAGAGAAGCTCGTGCACAAATGCCCACCAAGTTATTGATTCATTAGCCTGTGCTGTGCCGTCTCCATCCTTTCTCGCACACGTGGCTGTCCCTTTCTCTGCACTCCTCCCTCGTAACAAATAGTGAATTGTGTCAAAATTTTAATGATAGTTTCTTAAAGAACTGTTTTGGTGGAGTCCGGAAAATTTCAAATATAAGAAAGCTGTTGGGTATTAGTAAATGATAAACATGTGTACTATTTATATTTATGTGGCAATTTTGTACAATGATAAAATTTGCAATTCATCGGTCCGTTTCTGACTCAAACGGACTGTAATACTAAAGCACAATCAATGTTGTGTCATTGGAATATGGATGTCCTTAGTCGAGTTTACAACACATAACAATGCATACAGCTCCAGAGACCTGGTCAGTCAGATAGGTAATACATATCATGAGTGTCTCACTGTAAGTCGACATCCAGCTATAATACTCCGAGAGTGGGTTTTCCACCATATCTAACTTTACCGGTCCTGTCCGGGCCTCGATCTGATAACACGTCCAACGAAGGCTAGATTTGCTAGTAGACGACATTGACCCACTCTCTCGCCCAGGACATCAGATTTATATTTATCATCCTTTAGCGATGGCATTCATAGTTTGAATTTTTAAATGTTCAAACTTCAATCATGCAAAATTCATTTTACCTTCACGCGACATTGTGGACAAACTGACACATTCATCAATCCACATAGGGAAGAAATTAATTGCGTATATTTGTTATTTAAATTGTCTATGAAACTATGCACACATTGTATGCAAGAGAAAACATTAACTGAACATTGTAACATGTTGTGAAACGACTCACGCAAGCAATGTCCCTGCTCGTCCTCTGAAGATGTTTAGAGAACTTGGAGCTCGTGCAGACCTGCACACTAGTTATCGTGCATTCATGATTCAGCGTTATCCGCCGCAGACATGACTTGCATAAAATTGTTACAAGCTGACCTGCTTATCACGTGACCAAACTTTCCTCTTGTTTGAAACGAGTCGGTGGCCGAGGTTCTTGGATGACGCAAATAAATCATGTAGATAACAAGGTTGTAACCGTTGAATTGTTTGTTCAGGCGAATCAGCATTGTTTGCCCGTAAAACCCCATGATATAATATATTTTATTTTAAAAAATATGATGTAATCAAGCCCCCTTTAACTGGAAAAATGTACATTACACATTGTAAGACTAAAGTAATGTACCTTTTTTGACAGTGCGTGGTAAGTTTTGAGAAGAGTAAGTGAGTGACTTTAGTTTTACGCCGCACTCAGCAATAATCCAGCTATATGGCGACGGTCTGTAGATAATCGAATCTGGACCAAACAATCCAGTGATCAACAGCATGAACATCGATCGCAATTGGGATACGATGACATGTGTCAACTAAGTCAGCGAGCTGACAACCTGATCCCGTTAGTCGCCTCTTACAAGCATGGGTTACTGAAGGCCAATTCGTGTTTCGTGTGGGGAATCGAACCCGGGTCTTCGGCGTGACGAGCGAACGCTTTAACCACTAGGCTACCCCATCGCCCCCATCTAAACATGAACATTATTACTTTGGGAAATGGAAATCAGGAATACGCAGTATGCTGTTGGTTTCAAATGAGTGAAATAAGATGCAACGTCACATCAGCCATGTAGCGACGAGATCAACTACATATGTATGCAGGTGTGCATCACATATTTAACGTCATAGTTAAAAGAAAATTTGTTATTCATGTGATCACAGAAAATATTATTTACAAGCAGCGACCAAAGCGAGGCCACCTCAAAAACCGAACCAGTTTTCACGTATATGTTTACAATCTACGATACAGACCAAGGCTATGATTATTTCCTCCACGTAGCGTACGATGAGTGCCATGAAGCTTTCATCACAAAGCGATACGATAATGGAGGTCTGTCTTCATCTGGGGGGCGGTGGGGTAGCCTAGTGGTTAAAGCGTTGGCTCGTCACGCCGGGTACAATGTGTGAAGCCCATTTCTGGTGTCCCCCGCCGTGATGTTGCTGGAATATTGCTAAAAGCGGCGTAAAACCAAACTCAGTCAGTCAGTCTTCACCTGGTTTAACCATATATTCGACGGCTTCGCAAAGTGACCTCATCATGTTTGGACTGACAACCCAAATGGGTATGACCGAATGTTCGATTAAAGTCACTAAGTTTATTCATTCCTATTCATATCCCACCTTTTTTCGCACAAAAATTACTCTTAAATATATCTCTGGAGGATTTGTGGAGAGTCCCTGCATGAGTTGTGTCCACCACTTGTCTGAACGTGCATGTCACCTTGCTGCCACACTGCTGGGGGAATTTATAATGAATACGCTGAAGAAATATGAAGGAACATAGAAACGTCAGACACAAATATTGTTAGTGAAGTAAAATGTAAGTACAGTGTTTAAGATTAAAATCGATTAGTTATGTATAAATATATATTTTGTTTTGAAAAGCACAGCTATTTATTATTACATTACCTAAAAATGTTGGAAAGCACTCGTAAAATCTCCAAAGGAAGCCCGAGAAAACCCTCAACTGGAAACATGAGAGGCGTTATACATTTGAATCTCGCACCTCTCATGACCATATCCTTATTGAATACAGTGTACTCCTCTTATAGCTATGTTCTCCTACCTATTTACAGAACGCTACACATCAAACAACATAGGCGGATCCAGAAGGGGGTGCAGGGGTGCGCACCCCTCCTTCTGTCCTGAAAGTTTATTTAATGACCATTGAAACTCTCGTGAAAATGAAGTGTGCACCCCCACTTTCTCAAGAGTGTGCAAAAAAAAAAACACCACCCCCTTTCTCAAAAAGCTATCCGCCCCTGAACAAGACAACCAAAGGCGTCTGTTCGAACTTGTTACATTCTGGACCCGTGAAGGACCGGGTTAGAAGAAGATTGTTCTTCAGTAACCCATGCTTGTCGTAAGAGGCGGCTACCGGTATCCAATGGTCAGGCTCGCTGACTTGGTTGACAGATGTCATCTTATCCCAGTTGCGCAGATCGATGCTCATGCTGTTGATCACTGGATTGTCTGGTCCAGACTCGATTATTTACAGACATCCGCCATATAGCTGGAATATTGCGAAGTGCGGCGTTAAACAACAAACCAACCACCTTAAGTGTTCTTTTTTTAAGAAGTTATACAAAGCGATACAATAAGTAGACTGTACCCTATGAGCATCCATGATCATGCATTTTACGTGAAAATCGCCGTGTAATGTTCTTGTATCACCCTGACTCAGGAGATCTTAAACAGGTAGGCTGGATTCCCCAGCTGTGTTGGTCTATTTCACGCTGCAGATAACACAGTTAGCACTGCACCTACACCGCTCAGTGTGTCACGGGGATGACACAAAACCCCTCTCATGATCATAAGGAAGCATACATTTGCGTGTGCATGCGTGTGTATACATGTATGTTTCTTGTATCCAACATGCTGGTTATTTACTGAACTCTATCATTCAGTCCTGTCTTTTCCGTATCAAACACAAAATTATTGACGTTTTTTAAAACACATTTTTTAAAACTTACAGGTATTTCCTGTATTTCACAGACACAGTAGTCGTTTTAAAACTGCAAATTCAAACAAAATATTCATTTTTTACCACTGCCAACAAACTGAACAAACCATTCACTTTATATCAGTGAAATATGAAGACGATCGAATCTGGTCCAGATACTCCAGTGATTAATATCATTAATGAACGTCGTCGGGCCTACGTCAGGAAAGACGTGAGGGGGCGGTCTGTCCTCAGTGGGGTGGAGAGGCAGTTTCCACAAAGCGATCTTATCGCCAAGATGATCGTAAACCCATACTTTAACGTATGCCTACAGTGGTAGCACTGACATGGCTTTGTGAAACATGGCCCAGGGGGGAGTGAGTGAGTGAGTTTAGATTTACGCCGCTTTTAGCAATATTCCAGCAATATCACGGCGGGGGACACCAGAAATGGGCTTCACATATTGTACCCATGTGGGGAATCGAGCGAACGCTTTAACCACTAGGTTACCCCACCGGCCCTGGAGGATACGCTGTCAACCAAGTTACCAAGGCTGACCACCCAATCCACTTGGCAGCCTCTCACGACCAGCTCAGGGCCCCGCTCCACAAAACGATCGTAGAGCTTAGATGATCGTAACCCCCGTGCTTTAACATAGACTTACGACAGTCGTAGAGCTTAGATGATCGTAACCCCCGTGCTTTAACATAGACTTACGACTGTCGTAGCGCTAAGATGATCGTAACCCCCGTGCTTTAACATAGACTTACGACTGTCGTAGCGCTACTATCGCTTTGAGGAACGGTGCCCATGTTACTGGGGACGTGTATCAACCCGTTATCAGCCCGGAGAATACTATATACATGCTGTAGTTGTTATCGTGTTTACCGATTTATACACCGTGTTTGTGCGGACTGATCTGTTAGTTAAACACCACCCGGCAACTGCACAATCACTCGATGTTCTATTATTGACTCCAATGAGATACTGTATTCAGATGTAAACGTGAGCCTTTGAAATGGAACTATTTGACGAATAGGTCTCTATTGACAATGCACATGTGTCAATGTACATTTGGAGGGAATTACTAGACAGAGGCTTCCAACATTGTTCTTTCTAACACTAATGCAGCGGTATGAATCTAGTCAAAGAGCCAAGCAAAGACGGATATGTGTACACGCTGATGAACGGCCCGAATCAATCTCTATTGTCTGCTAAAGTCGGATCCTCGGTGGTTCTGTGTGTTAGCGTAAACAAAGATCCGTTAGCTCTACAAACGTTGTCTATGAGACAGTAGTTCTGTTATGACAGTGAAAATAATTGAAATTTTACAAAAATATCTGCACAGAAAGTAGATTGTGTTCACTTTAGATTCTTATTCTTATCATATTCTTATTATTCAAAGGTGGCGGTTGGGTAGCCTAGTGGTTACACCGTTCGCTCGTCACGTCTAAGACCCAGGTTCGATTCCCCACCTCAGTTCAACGTGTGAAGTCTGATGTTCCCGCCGTCAAATTGCTGAAAGGTTGCAAAACATGCGACGTAAACTCCAACTGACGCACTTCTTGTTCTTGTCTATATTTTGTTGATGAGCGGGTGTTATTCGCCGTCATGAGGTGAGGTGAGGTGAAATTGGGTTTAACGTCGTGCTTGAGAATATTTCGCTCATATGACAACGTGCATGCGTGTGTATGTGTATGTGCGGCTGCTTGTACTAGCCCAGACTTAAACTGGTTTTATAGTACTAGCCCACTGATATACCACGCCGCAGTGAAGCATGAATACCCCACTCAGACACATTATACTGACTCCGAGCCGACCAGTCCTTGTTGTACCCATTAATGCCGAGCGCCAGGCAGGGACCAACAAGTACCATATTTTAACGTCTTTTGGTATGACGCGGTCGGGGATCGAACCCGCGACCTTCCGCTCTCTGGGCGGACGCCCTAACCACTACACCACAGAGGCGGTCTCGCCGTCATGAACACTATTTGACTTGTATACCAGCTGGAGGGGTGGTGTGACGCCCTTCGAGGATGACCTGTACGATGTTAGGGTGATTAATCTTATATTCTGTTTTAAGCCGCATTCAACAATATTCCAACTAATCGACGGCGATTTTAAAATATTTAGAGCCAGAACTAGACAATCCAGTGATTGGCGGACCTAACGCGGAGCTTCTAAGGAATAATGATACGTACAACGACGATGATGACGATGTGAAACAATTGGCAAATGTCTCACTTTGAATGCCAAATTAGCTGAAATAGTTTCTGTTGCAACACTCAATATGTTCCCACTCATATATTTTAAAAACAAAACAGTCGACAGATCAACACAAATCAACACTAGCCACAGATTATGATTATGTTTGGGTTGTCAGGTTGCTATGTAACTAATCTTCGCCAGAGGCAATAAAATCAATGGAGCCTTGTCCACAGAGAACAACGCTTCAAATAGTCTT